GGCTCTTTCTCGCGTTACTCAGATTTTGCCAGAAAAAAATCCTAATCTGACTACAGGAAAAAGAAATGATTTACAATGAACTTTTTTTGATTCAGATTTCGAGGTTAGGTTAGGTTAGGTTAGGTTAGGTTAAGTAGTCTCTATTTATGAGGAAAATGTAAAATAAAAATAAAAATTCTTTCCTAATCCTAAAGAAAAGTTAAATATTCTTCATTATCTTGATCTAAATTTTATCAATATTTTTGTATCGTCTCAAAACTGCCAACAAAATCGTTTAATAAAAGAACACAGTACACGAAGCATTTTAATGACTCAAAAATTACTAATAAAATTGATTAAATAACAAAAAAAGTCTATAGTACAATTTTATTCACCTATCGAGTTTAAATTCACCATTGCCCTTAAAAAAATAATAAATAATATACAAAATAAAACTCAGAAAAGTCACCAAAATAATAAAACAAATATAAATGAAAAAATATTGCCAAAAATTACTACAAAAATCGTCTTTATTTCTTCCTTTCAATTCAGATTTTGACAATAAATTCTTCATTGGCTCAGAAATATACACAGAGATGATTGAAACTTTCCAATCGCCTCTCCCTTCAGTTTTACGTAAGGGAGAGGCGAATATTGGTGTGTGTGTGGAGGAATGCCTTTGAGGGAGGTGTGTGTGTGTGTGTGTGTGTGTGTGTCATAAAGAGCTTGTTCCCTCCCTTGTGCTGTAGTTACGGGATCAGGTAATACAGGCTACAGGTAGTTAATTTATTAGTGTTCTGTAACTTAACCTGTGCTGTAGTTACGGGACCAGGTGAGTGATACAGGTAGTTCTGTTCTCTTAATGAACCTTAAACGGAGGGTGTGATCAAGGTGTGATGTTGACGATCCTGGATAGTTACTTTCTGACAACGGCTAGTAAGTTTTCGTCCTTGGCGAGTAACTAAATTATCATCTGTGGCTAGTAACTTTTCACCGTGGCTAGTACCTTTTCACCGTGGCTAATCAACCGTGGTAGTCTAACAGAGATTTAACCTTTCATCAGGGATTAATATTAACGCTATTTACCTTAACTAAAAAATTATTATCTTAACATAATTTTTTTATTTTTGTTTTTTTAAATATTTTTGGTAATTTTTATTTTCGTTCACCAAATCGCTAATTTTATCATTTATTTCTTTACTTTTTCGGGTTTTTTTATTTTGTTATAGTTGTTTCGTTATGAAGGTTCATGTATAACCTAACCTAACCAAACCTAACCTATTATACGTAGATTCCCTCCCCCCTTTCTTTCCCCCTCTCTCTCTCCCCCCCTCTTTCCTCCTTCTTATTCCCCTGCCTCCCTCTTCCATTCTGTCTGTCTGTCTGTCAAAAGTCTGGCACCCGGACAACAAATAATTCTTTTACATATGGTAGATTCTTCAGACACACACACACACACACACACACACACACACACACACCCACACCCACACACACACGGTCGTTTACATATAGCGTTCTGTAAAAGGAAAGCCAAATTACTGATGTTATTTACTCTTATTATTGATAATGGTGATAGTGGTATTAACGTCTCCATTATCACTCTCTTATGCCCTTGTTGACACTGGTGATGTACTATGTATACGTGTTACTGAACTATGTATCCGGGTTACTGAACTGTATATTTAGTGTGAGTGACAACAGTTAACGGTAGTGTGAGTGACAACAGTTAACGGTAGTGTGAGAGACAACAGTTAACGGTAGTGTGAGTGACAACAGTTAACGGTAGTGTGAGAGAGACAGTTAACGGTAGTGTGAGTGACAACAGTTAACGGTAGTGTGAGTGACAACAGTTAACGTGCGTGAGGACAACAGTTACTCGTAGTGAGTGACAACAGTTAACGGTAGCAGAGGACAAGAGTTAACGGTAGTGGAGGACAACAGTTACGGTGTGTGAGAGACAACAGTTAATTCAGGTAGTGTGAGTGACAACAGTTAATTGCAGAGTGACAACAGTTAACGGTAGTGTGGAGGACAAATAGTTAACGGTAGTGTGAGACAACAGCTAATCTAGAGTAGAGACAACAGTTAACGGCAGTGTGAGTGACAACAGTTAACTAGAAAGGAGAGACAACAGTTAACGGTATATTTAGTGTGAGTGACAACAGTTAACGGTAGTGAGTGACAACAGTTAACGGTAGTGAGTGACAAGAAGTTAACGGTAGTGTGGAGAGACAACAGTAAACGGTATATTTAGGAGAGACAACAGTTAACGGTATATTTAGTGTGAGTGACAACAGTTAACGGTAGTGGAGAGACAACAGTTAATTAGTAGAGTGACAACAGGCAACGGTAAGGAGGACAACAGTTAATCTGGTGTGAGTGACAACAGTTAACGGTAGTGTGAGGCGGGACAACAGTTAATCTGTAGTGTGAGACACAACAGTTAATTCCAGAAAGGACACAGTTTAAATGTAGTGTGAGAGACAAATAGTTAACGGTATATTTAGTGTGAGTAACAACAGTTAATTTGTAGTGAGTGACAACAAAGCACCGTAGTGAGAGACAACAGTAAACGGTAGTGTGAGAGACAACAGTTAACGGTATATTTAGTGAGTGACAACAGTTAACGGTATATTTAGTGAGTGACAACAGTTAACGGTATATTTAGTGAGTGACAACAGTTAACGGTATATTTAGTGTGAGAGACAACAGTTAACGGTATATTTAGTGAGAGACAACAGTTAACGGTATATTTAGTGAGTGACAACAGTTAACGGTATATTTAGTGTGAGAGACAACAGTTAACGGTATATTTAGTGAGTGACAACAGTTAACGGTATATTTAGTGTGAGAGACAACAGTTAACGGTATATTTAGTGTGACAGACAACAGTTAACGGTAGTGTGAGACAACAGTAAACGGTATATTTAGTGTGAGAGACAACAGTTAGCGGTAGTGTGAGACAACAGTAAACGGTATATTTAGTGTGAGTGACAACAGTTAACGGTATATTTAGTGTGAGAGACAACAGTTAACGGTAGTGTGAGAGACAACAGTAAATGATATATTTAGTGTGAGAGACAACAGTTAACGGTAGTGTGAGTGACAACAGTTAACGGTATATTTAGTGTGAGTGACAACAGTTAACGGTATATTTAGTGTGAGAGACAACAGTTAACGGTAGTGTGAGTGACAACAGTTAACGGTATATTTAGTGTGAGTGACAACAGTTAACGGTATATTTAGTGTGAGAGACAACAGTTAACGGTAGTGTGAGTATACAGGAAACGGTAGTGTGAGAGACAACAGTAAACGGTATATTTAGTGTGAGAGACAACAGTAAACGGTAGTGTGAGAGACAACAGTTAACGGTATATTAAAAGAGAGACAACAGTTAACGGTAGTGAGTGGACAATAGAAGTTAACTGTATATTTAGGTGTGAGAGACAAATATAAACGGTAGGAGAGACAACAGTAAACGTAGTGTGTGAGAGAGACAACAGTTAACGGTATATTTAGTGAGACAACAGTTAATCTGGGTATATTTAGTGAGACAACAGTTAACGGTATATTTAGAGTGACAACAGTTAACGGTATATTTAGTGTGAGAGACAACAGTTAACGGTATATTTAGTGAGAGACAACAGTTAATGGTATATTTAGTGAGTGACAACAGTTAACGGTATATTTAGTGTGAGACAACAGTTAACGGTATATTTAGTAGAGTGACAACAAGTTAACGGTATATTTATGAGAGACAATGGTTAACGGTATATTTAGTGAGGACAACAGTTAACGGTATATTTAGTGAGAGAGACAACAGTTAACGGTAGTGTGAGTCAACAGTAACGGTATATTTAGTGTGAGAGACAACAGTAAACGGTAGTGTGAGAGACAACAGTAAACGGTAGTGTGAGAGACAACAGTAAACGGTAGTGTGAGAGACAACAGTTAACGGTATATTTAGTGAGTGACAACAGTTAACGGTATATTTAGTGAGTGACAACAGTTAACGGTATATTTAGTGAGTGACAACAGTTAACGGTATATTTAGTGTGAGAGACAACAGTTAACGGTATATTTAGTGAGAGACAACAGTTAACGGTATATTTAGTGAGTGACAACAGTTAACGGTATATTTAGTGTGAGAGACAACAGTTAACGGTATATTTAGTGAGTGACAACAGTTAACGGTATATTTAGTGTGAGAGACAACAGTTAACGGTATATTTAGTGTGACAGACAACAGTTAACGGTAGTGTGAGACAACAGTAAACGGTATATTTAGTGTGAGAGACAACAGTTAGCGGTAGTGTGAGACAACAGTAAACGGTATATTTAGTGTGAGTGACAACAGTTAACGGTATATTTAGTGTGAGAGACAACAGTTAACGGTAGTGTGAGAGACAACAGTAAACGATATATTTAGTGTGAGAGACAACAGTTAACGGTAGTGTGAGTGACAACAGTTAACGGTATATTTAGTGTGAGTGACAACAGTTAACGGTATATTTAGTGTGAGAGACAACAGTTAACTAACGGCCGTGTGGTCAGAGAAGTGTTGGCTGGTAAGAGAGATGTAAGCTGTTGTCAATTATGTTTCCCACAAGACGTCAGATTTTTTCCTAAACTTAACCAAATATTGAAGTAGTTTGTTTTAATTAATTAGTTGTAAGATTAGTACATGGGTGAAGGTGTGTGTGTGTGTGTGTGTGTGTGTGTGTGTGTGTGTGTGTACTAACAAGAGATGAAGTGAGTGTGGTCGCTTGTGGTGTGTTCGGGTTATAGCAACACTTGGCTGCATTACAAGCGCCTCTTCATTAAACAGGACCTGATATATATGAGCAGCAACACAGATGGCGGCAACACTCTGTAATATACCAGGTGTAGCAGTAATATTATCTTAGGTGAGGTATAGACACAAGTGTACAATACAGTGTTGCTGGTGAAGAACATAAGAGAGGTAGCAACACACTTATCTTGTAGAGTCAGTATATAAGCAGTGTGAGTCGCCCTACCTTAACAGGTGAGTGAACGGGTGGGCGTGGCGTTGATGGTAGTGGTGAGCGCGGGCGGGCAGGCGGGCGTGGTGGTAGTGTTAACCTGTCGCGGGCGTGGCGGCGGCTGGGTCAGCGGGCTCCGACGACACACAGTTTTATACCAAGGCGGACCCGCTCCCCCGCGCACACACCCACCATCACGTGTGCCGCTACACTTAGCACCGTGCCACAATGATTCACCTTCACTCTGCCTCAATAACCTTATCTATATCTCTTATACTCTGATTACTCTCTCTTTAAGCAACTTGGAAACTTATTTAATTAATTCACTACCGGCAGCTCCCCACCGGACGTTAGGAACCATGAAATGTAATATAATGTAAAATATAACTGAGTGCGTTGCCAATTAAATTAAGTAGAGTAAAATGCGAGTTTTGTGACACAGGTCAAGAGTAACACATTCAAGGGGGCCAACTTGTATTTATTTTACCAAGTGCAATGTAGCGGAAAACCTGATCCCATGAACACTAAGTTACGGAACACAACCGCCCCCACCAGCCAGAACCGGAGTCCGATTGGCTGATGGATAATGACGTCACCGTGATAGTACCACCCATTGGTCAGTCGGTGGGACACTCATCACAATACTACAATAGTGTTCCCAGTGGTCACACGGCCCTGTTGTGTCATAATTACGTCATAATAGAAAATATTGCAGATATCAGGACACCATTACGGACACGATTGAAGGTAGAGGAGGATATATCAGGAGTTGATAATGTGGCGGAAGATTGATGATAGAATGACCAGGTTCCCAGAAAATGTTTACGATGTTGTTGTTGTGACGTATTGTTGGTAGAATAGGGTAGGAGGGTCCCTTAGCTCTCAACCACGCCTACATGTCCCCGCCCCACCCACCACCACAGCTCCAACAGTCACCCTCCACCACAGCTCCAACAGTTAAACACTCTCTAGATCATATATTCCTCGTCTGTGGTTCATAATCTCATATAAAACAGTAAATTAATTTGTTTATCTCGAGGGAAACAACCTCAAAATTTTTCCATTCATAAAACAATATATATTTTTTCTTATAAATCCAAAACAAAAACAACATTATTATACACAAATTGTTCTTAATGTTCTTCACCTTATTGTTCACTCGTTTACTTCATCAGGTGTTTGTTATTCACTGATTCAACAAGACAACACCGTGTTATTCTTGGCTTAGTATCGCCACACAGACCAAGGAACCTGATATGCATTTTTACTTCACTTAGCAATGGGATATTTTTGGTATTTATTTTAGGTTTTAATAATTTTGAAACTTTATATTATTGAAGTTTTCTGTTTATCATTAGAAACTTTAATTCGTTGTCTTGTTAAATTGGGAGAGATTATTTGAAAATGAGTCAAATATGTAGACTTTTACTGAGTCTTTCGTTAATTAAAGAAATTGTCCTAAATATCCACCTGTATGAAGAGATCTGGAGTTATTACTGAGATATGATTTGGATTCGACTGTAATCTGACTTGACTCCAGATCTGATTTTCTTGACCTGTGACTTGAAACTATAATCTGACTTGACTTAAAACTCGTATATTCTAACTTACGACTTTTAACTGAGAATAACTCGCCTCTTTTTCCCTCAGATTAATTTTTAAGGAAATGTTTGAGTGTAGTAGTTTAATGAATTTTAACCTAATAATATAGATAGAGAGCTACATCAAGATTAAAATACTACTACTACTACTACTACTACTACTACTACTACTACTTACTACTACTACTACTACTACTACTACTACTACTACTACTACTACTACTACTACTGGTACTAATAAACTCAAATTCTTCTACAGGTACAGTCAACCAAAGATTCATCGACCTCACCCTGACTCTCGTATACTCACAATTTTACCTGGGAACACTGTATGAAGTAAGGCTGTATGTAATGACGATTGTGTGGATCTATTTTCGGCTGTATGACTGTCAGGGTAAATATTCAACAATCCAAAGGTAGACAATTTTTATCAGTAACTATTTATCGTTATTTAAGATCATGACAAGTTTCCAAATGTTCGTATATTTGCTTAAATGAAGAAAATTATATTAATTAATTGGTAACGCAACTACAATAAGGTCTGTCACAAGATTCTCACATTAAATATTCTTTCTGTTATTTTATCACTCTCTATCCTCTACACATGTCCACACAGTCAGTATTGGCACGAACTAGATTCAATACTACCACCCCCAGCACGCCCACATTCACGCCCACACCCATCTACAAAGACTCCATTAGGAATTTTCTGTCAGTATTTCATTTTTGTAGAACCATCAACCAAAACTCATTTACCAGTGCCACTGTAGATGAGCCGAACAACTAAATGTGTTTCTTTGTTCATATACACCAGCTTCCATCACTGAGAGACCTGTGTTTCATATATCTATAGTCATTGTTATAGGTGAGGGAGGAGGTGTCTCAGTGAATACCTGTGTTGTTAAGTTGGGGGAAAAAATTACATCAATGAACAAGAGTGATTCGGTGTGGGTCGGTGTGGGTCGGTGTGGGTCGTGGGTCGGTGTGGGTCGGTGTGGGTCGTGGGTCGGTATGGGTCGGTGTGGGTCATGGGTCGTATGAAGCCATAATGAAAACATCCATCCCGGGGGTAAATTTCCATCAGAGAAGTAACACAGGAATGTATATGTTAGTTCTGTGTGTTTTTTGTTTTTTAAAAGAAAGATGTTAATATATTGTTGTTAATATGAAGAGTTTAGGGAGACAGTGTTTAAAAATATGCAAGTAATCTGTCTGTCTGTCTGTCTGTCTGTCTGTCTGTGTGTCTGTCTATACTCTTACACATGAATCACGGAACACACACGCACACAGACACACACACACACACAACATTATATAAACAAAAGTAAACAATTCTCATCACCTGTTGTTTGACATTGTTAACTAATCACGTTATCAGGTAACTATCATAAGACACCTGTAAAACTTCCTCTCCTCTCACTTTCTCTTCGCGGATTAATTTAATAACATTTTAATATCTCTATATCATTTCCAGGTGATAATTAACATCTTATCAACTATTTTACTTTTAATATTTCTTATATAAATTGTATTTTATTGTTAGTTTTTTCATAATTCTCCAAAGGTAAAAAACAAAATATTACCATCTTAGTGGGTCATTGTTTTTTTTATTATTAGAGACTCGTATCCGGATTCACGCTCGAGAACGCTTTTGATTTGTGTGGATTTGGTAAACATTGAGGCAGTCTTGGTGTGTTATGACGCTTTACCGATGTTGTTTTGGGTAGTGAAGTTCTTCAGTGTAATTTTAAGGTAGACCTAAATTTATAAAATTTTAAAGGGATTTTTTTAAAGGACATTCTGCTGTTACTAAGGACATCATACTGTTACTAAGGACATCATATTGTTACTAAGGACACCATATTGTTACTAAGGACACCATACTGTTACTGAGGACATCATATTGTTACTAAGGACACCATACTGTTACTAAAAATCTATCACTAGCAAGTCTACGGACTTGGCGCACCCACATTCAACCACAACAAGGACACCATACTGTTACACCATACTGTTACCAAGGACACCATACTGTTACTAAGGACACCATACTGTTGCACCATACTGTAACTACTGTATAGTTTGATTAATACATAAAATCATACACATTTAGCTATGAACTTAATTACCAATACGAGAACTCTTAGTACCATTAAGCACCTGTCCTAATTACACCTGTCTCACCTGTCCCACCTGTTTCACCTGTCCAAACTGTCCCATCTGTCCCACCTGTCTCCTGTTGCTGCCCATCTGTCACCCGTCACCCGTCCACCGTCCCACCTGTCCCACCTGTCCCATCTGTCCCAACTGTCCATCTGTCCCACCCGTCCCACCTGTCCCACCTGTCCCATCTCATCCCAACTGTCCCATCTGTCCCATCTGTCCCACCGTCCACCGTCCACCGTCCCCTGTCCCACCTGTCCCATCTGTCCCCACCCCGTCCCACCGTCCACCGTCCCACCTGTCCCATCTCCCATCTGTCCACCTGTCCCAACTGTCCCACCCTGTCCCAACTGTCCCTGTCCCACCTGTCCCATCTGGCTCCCCACCTGTCCCATCTGTCCCCAACTCATCCCACCTGTCCCACCTGTCCCACCTGTCCCACCTGTCCCACCTGTCCCATCTGTCCCATCTGTCCCCGTCCCACCACCGTCCCACCGTCCCACCCGTCCCCTGTCCCATCTGTCCCACCTGTCCCACCTGTCCCATCTGTCCCACCTGTCCCATCTGTCCCACCTGTCCCCACCGTCCCTGCATCCCCACCTGTCCCATCTGTCCCACCTGTCCCACCTGTCCCACTTGTCCCATCTGTCCCACCTGTCCCAACTGTCCTAATTACACCTGTCTTTGCACTCGTGTTGTTAAATGAAGTACTCTAATTGTGTTTATTTAACGTACTCAGTCCAAATGGAAATCACAGAGAAGAGTTGTTGGTAAATATTGACACGGTGTAGGAGATGAGAGAGAGAGACCCACTTACACCTGAGTCTGTACAGGTATAGGTGTGTTGGCCTCTGTACACTGTGGGATTAATTCGTTTATAATGATGATGTATAGCGTAGGTAGTGAAGACATACATACATACATACATACACACATACATACATACATACACACATGCATACACACATACATACACACATACATACATACATACATACATACACACATACATGCATACATAGATACATACATACATACATACATACATACATACATACATACATACATACATACACACATACATACATACATACATACATACACATATACACATACATACATACATACATACATACACACATACATACATACATACATACATACATACATACATAACCAGCTCTTATGAAATAGTAATTGCTTATCAACGTTGTGTTTATTAAGATAATTCTAACCAAGTAATTAACTACCAAGGTAAACTGCTTCATTAACTCGTATTGTAATATTTCCAGGTTGTTGACGGGTTGAGCTGTTGTTGTTATTACTTGTGGGGGTTTATATATATTCCATCGTTTG